TTCTGTGCTCCACATTTCAGCCTTTATTGCTTTTGGCAGAACCAGCCTGAGCACAATTTTCCTCCTCACTTCTGCTCATTTTGATGGACAGGTATTTAGAGGCTCCTGGCAAATGCCTGTTTCCCTTCAACTCCATCAGCTTTTTAGCTGTTTCAAAGAAAAATAAATGCACACGTGAGTGATCCAGCTATGATCTCTTGGGGTTTAAATCAGTTCTAAATTGTTGTAAGAGTCAATGGGAAAACATGCAAGTTACAACAGGGAGTTGTTAACCACCCTAGTCAGACTGGGAGTATTTTTTTAATTGTAGATCAGGTTATACAGGACAACTGCAGTGTAACTGAAGCCCTTAGCCATGGAAAACACTTGCCTTATTTTTATTTTTTTTTCCCACAGCTAATAGAATGAAGTCATTGCTTATAAAAACCAACAAACATTTTACAGGTGGGTCTCAGGAATCTGACTGTCACCTCAGGGAAAGCAAAGCTTGTCCTGGTTGCAGAGGTACATGTCCCAAACAAGAGCAAGAAACCTACCTTTATGAAAAATTCCCTGAATCAAAAGTTTGTTTATGCCATTTTGCAATGCCAACAAGCTGCTCTGGATTCCCTCCCAGCTTCCCCATGGCTCTGCTGGCACATGGGATGCCAGACTCTGGCAAGAGCTCTGGATTGAGCAGCCAGGAGCTTCCACCTTGATGTGTCAGCAAAGATGAATTCAATATTAAGGCAGGTTGGATCCAGTAAGTCCCCAGGGTGGGGATCACTTGTCACTAAAACAAGGAGCAGGGACTTCATCTCTTCTCCCCAGCTCAGGGGCAAACCCATCCCTATTTTGCCTCTTCTCCAACTTTCACCTTCCTACCTGTAAAGCAGGAATAACAATCTCACTGGCTTGAAAAGTGGAGGACACAAGGGTTGCAGGGGTTCTCTCTTCTCCACCACGCAAAGCTCCCTCTCCACGGGTGTCCTGCTGGACCCCAATACTCCACTGGGTCTCCATGGTCCCTTCCCATCCATTTCTCTCTTTGCTGGTGCCACCATCCAGACAGGCTGAGCTGTGGGGCAGCCTCCAGCACCCAATGCCTCTCTGCTGATACTCACCCAAGGAAGGAATTTGGAGACAGCAACACATGGAGCATGTGGCATTTCCAGGGCCTGGAAAATGGGTGTGAGGGGACCACATCCACTTCTTGCTGTCCCCAGCTGTGTGCTCAGAGGGGATTTGAAGTTTAAGACAGTCAGAGATCCCCTTATTTGTACAGGAAGTTTTAAAAGTAGTCACTTCAATTAAGGAAAAAAAAAAAATCCCTGCCACCTGTTTAAACCAGCACAACTGACAGTGGGGATTTGGGGGTACTGTGAATTATTACCACCTTCCACAGCCACAATCTGGGGATATTTCCTCACCCCAGAGAGCATCACCAGCTCTGCACAGAAGCAATGTTACTCATGTCCCACTTGTGGCTGCACACACAGTGCCAGGGACAGCCCTGCAGAGCAGACCAGGGACCTGCAAGCAGCAAACTGCTACAGTAAATCTGTCCCCAGCACCACAAGAGCTTTGCTAACTAAAAGACCTAAACAGATTAAAAAACCCACATTAATCCACCCCCTTCTGTTTTCTCATGGAAATCTCCTGTATTTCAGTTCCACTACTGAAGAAAAAAAATTAAAAGTCCCAAATTGTTCCAGCACCAGTGTCAAAAAAAGTAAGGTCAAGTTTCACTTCTAGGCTGAGCCTTTGCAGCTCCCCACAGCCTGGGTAAGCTTGGGAACATCAGTTTGCTGCAGACCCACATCACACCTCCCGGTGGGAAAAACCCACCCACCCAACTGCCACTGCTAACAAACCCTTCCGAGCCCCGTCCCCTCCAGCAGAATTTGATCATCACATCATGGGTTGGGTTGGAAGGGACATTAAAGGTCTTCTAGCCCCAACCCACCTGCATGGGCAGGGACACCTCAGGTTTAATATAATCAAGAGAAGGAATTAGAAATAAAGCAGGAAAGCAAGCAAACTCCTCACAGCCACCTCTCCAACAGAGCTGATAAGGCACTCCTGGCGATATTCAGACCTGACCTGCAGCGAATGTGAGTCTTGGAGCTACTTCAGCACGAGAAGATGAGACAACCCCCCCAGAAGTTCCCAGCCCCACCAGCACCCCCGGGTGCCCCGCAGCCCCTCCCGCCAGCCCCACCAGCCCAGCCCCGAACCTCTGCGGGGCCCCGCGGCGTGTCCTGGGGTTTCTCCAGCCGGGAGAGGCTCGACGGATTCAGCTACATCCTGAAAGGCTGGGAGAAGCAGCTCCGGAGCCCGGTCTGCTGCTCAGAGCGGTGAGAGGCTCCGATCCCCAGGCAGGGGGAGGGGGCAGCGGGTCCCCCAGAGCCCTGTCCCCGGGCAAAGAAAGCCAAGGAAAGGCTGCCCGGGAGCAGGAACCCGCTGCTAGGAGTAACAAGAACCAGCTCGCAGGGGGTTTGCTAACCCAGCGCTAAATTTATGCCCAGGACGCCGCACGCCGAGTTCCTAGAGCGCAGCAACAAGTCCCGCTCCCGCCCCCTGCCAGATTCCCAGGGATGAGGTCACCCCGGCCCCGGCAGCATCCCTGACATCCCTGACACGTTTTTGGGAGCCCGGCCTCTGCGCCGAAGGCAAATCTCATCGCGTTTGTTGAGGGAGATAAAGCACATCTGGACGTTTTGCAAGGCCAGAGGCTGAATCATGAACTGGAGCTGGACGGTGCTGCTTCCCAGCTGTGGGATGTGGCCCTGACCTCCAGATGTGGTCCCTAACCTGGGGAGTGCCTGGGAGAGCTGCCCAGCTCCACACCCAAACCTTTTGGGAAAGGTTTTGTCCTCGTTGCCAGGAATGGAAGGACTGGCAGTGGCATTTCTCATCACAAATGAAAGGGTAGATTTTCAGCTGCATCCACGAGGACTGTCAGCATCAGCATCAGCATCCCCCCGCAGCAGAGGGAGCTGCAGGAAACTCACAATTGCCATCCTATAGGAAACACAGGCACCTTTGTCAGTGTCCAGTGAGATGGGAGAAAAAAACCCCATCGTTTTCAAATGTTTAGCACAATAAGCAAACATTTGTTGCTCAGTGCAGTTCTGTAATCTAAGCAGTGTTTAAAAGCATCGTGATATACAAGGCACAGGGTAACACTAAACTGAAGCACTTAAATCTTAGCAAAAGAACACTGAGCACTTGATAGCCTGTGGAGAGAGGGTTGTCACTGTCTTACCTGTGAACTCCCCAAATTGCCTCTCCAGCAAGTCCTGCTGGATTCTAGTAGTTGCTCGGATTTGCTACACTTTAGTTTAAAACTATAGGGTGAGCAAGGGAAGAGCACTTCACTTGCAGGGCATTCAAAGCCAGAGCTAAAATTCTTCCTCTGTTTATATGTGAAAAACACAGAGCTGCCTCCAGTGCTTATGTTTGGGTTCTTGTTTTCTGGCCTGCCTTTCCCAAGGTGTTCATGCTATGCTGTGATCTCCTGGCTTTGACTCCACCTCAAGCTCAGCACCCTGGATTAAGCCTTGGGGCCAGCACGGGCACCCAACCCCCCTGAACAGCAACACACACCAGGATTTAAAAAGTAAAAAGGCAGCTGGCTGCTGTTCTGCTTGTGCACTGAATGGCTAGAAAGAACAACTGTGAATATATTGATAAACTGGCTTAAAAGACTGTCTGGTTTCACTTAGGGGCTGGAAAGACCCCAGTGGATCAATGCAAACATCCCACTTGGACCACGTTTCAGAAGTGCTGTGCTCCAAGTCATCCTGTCACCTCTGCACCAGGGCTGGGGGACCACATTTTCCCCCACATCAAGGAAGAAAAAGGGCAGCCAGCAGTAATGCAATACCTAATATACAGCTGACACCAGATTTTCCAAGAAAGTCAGCTCCCACTTTAACACAAACCAAAATTACTCTTTGGGGGGAGTTAGGGTTTTTTTCAAGACTTGGTCGGTGGCCAAAAGAGCTGGATTGAGGGACCTGCCCTAAGCAGGAGTGCTGGAAACCATCCTGCTGGAAATCAGCACTGCAGGCTGAGTACAAGCAGGATGCTCTGTGAACTGGAAAGCAAGAAAACTCCCCAGTTTCTTGTTATTACCTGTTATTCTATATTTAGTTCATTTTCAGAGTAGTTTGCATATCGATATCCTGCAGTCATCCTGCAAATGCATCAGCAGGGCCCAGGGGGCTGGATTTTGGTGGCTTTCACTGATTTTTATTCCTCCCAGAGTCAAACTCAGACCATGACACGTTCCTTTTGGCCAAACTCTGTTTAGGGTCTCTCCCCACTGCCTCCCACCACAAGGTTGATAACAGCCTGGGACCTCTGCCTGGCTCCATGCTGAGGTGAAGCTGGTTGATGAATTTAAGTATTAGGAGGAAGTGGGGACACAAAAAGCAAAATCTTGGAAGTCTCACCTTTTCAAGAAACCCAGCTGGGAAGAGCAACTAGTCTGGTTGTGAGTGTGGCTAAGCCAAGAGAGTAGCAGGCTCCTTGGACTTTCTTTCCCAGGAAGCAGACATCTTTCCTTATTTACTTGACAGCTGATGGCAGGGCTGAGGGGCCAGCTGGGAAGCACGTTGCACTCTCAGCAGGATGCACAGATGACTCAAGGCAGCTCAGACATGCTCACTTGCTTGGTTTCAAACTTCCTGCTGCCTACCAGCTTGTACCACCCGCCTTCCAGCTCGGCTGGGCAAGTGACTTGTTCTAGGGCTTAGTTTCATACCGGGCTGGACTCTCCCATTGGCATTAAAAAGATGAAAGGGCTGAAACCCTCTCAAGATCAGGTAGAGCCAAATTTTTAAACATCATAAAACCCCAAGACTTGTCTATTAGAATGTATTTATTTGAAAATATATTAAAATGCCTGGCTAATATTTCAGAGTGAAAGGTCAAGCTTGGTCCCTCCCCACAGTCATCCTTGCTTAGTGGAGCATCCTGCCTTTCCAAACCGTGGTGGGATGAGACTCTTTTGCTCATTCAATGGCTTCCATGACTTCCATCACCAGAGTTCGGGGTCCTGTCATGATGAGGCTGCTGATGGTCTGATAGTCCAGATGCAAAACATACATACCATTCACTGAGAAAACAAACTGGCACACCTGCAAGGAGAGGAAGGGCAGGTTAACTCCAGGTGGTGTTTTCATGGAAACTTCTGCCCATGGCAGACCAGAGCTGGAGGCTGCAACACAAATAACTTGCTACAAAATCCAACAAAGCCTACAGCATTCCAACCCAATGGTCACCACTGTGCTGTGATCACTACATCATAACAAAGGGGCCAAAGGGATTTAGACCATGTGCTTATAGGGGGTAAAAAAAAAAAAGACTCATTTATGAGCAGTGGCTCATTTCACAGAGGCACAATATTAACATCTAGCAATTTGAGAACAAATGAGATTAGGTAAGGAGAAATTAACTGGGCTCTTGAGTAAATGAAACAAATTGATCCATCCCATTCCAATCCTGCCTGAAGCAAACCAGGAGTCACACTCTGCTTCTGAAGGATCTGTTATTTCAGATATCCAAGTGACTTTAGACTTGGATATCTTGTAGAGATTACTCCCTTACTTCTCCCACAGAGAACTGTGAAACTCTCTATTTCTGGCATTCCTACCTAAAACTCTACACACAAACTCCATACCTGCCTGCATCTAAAATGTGTTTCAAGAGCTGGAAAGCCTGGAAGTCACTTGCTGAAACAAAATGAGGTGTCAGCCTAAGGTTAAGCTTTCATGTGCATGGAGAAATAGTTCCACACAGAACAACCTAGTTAATAGCAGAGCAACACAGAAGGTGTCACCTCTCAGGAGCTGTGAGAGCAGGTGATTGAGGGAAGAGCTCTGCTCCTTTCCTGCTGCACTGGGGTTAAACACAGTTACTGGTGCTGAACTGGGAATTCCCTGCCTTGTTTTTAGCAGCTCAATCTGTTTCAAGAGCTCCAAAATCTATCAAGGAGACAGCTTAATTTTAACAAAGATTTCTTTTTTTCAGTTTTAGCTGCCTGCAGTCCCAGTGCTGCCCTGGCAACAGGCAAATCCAGCACCCTGCAGTCCCATAGGGTGTACTTTGCCTGCCCAGAGCACCCTGCCCTCTGTACCTGCAGCACATCCAGGGCTCCACATGCCCACTGAATCCAACTGATCTCCTCTGCAGGAGGTAGGATTATCACAGAGGATGTGTTCAACCCAAAGAGCTCAAACAGGACTTAAGTTCTGCCTTCTGTTACACCACCACAAGTAAGAAGTACCTTCATCCCTGCAGCAGCAGCAGGTCCTCCAGGGTCCACTGCCTGGATGTGGCAAGGTCTTCCTCCTCGGACCACAAACCCCCAGCCCACTGCATCCCCCACGATCTGCAAACAGAAGAAAAGGGTTTTATAAAAACAGGGAATGGGCTGGAGAGAGGAGATGCAACAGTTTCTAGTGAGATGGAGAGCTCTGCACATGATCCCAATCTGTCATGGATGGGAGAGAAGGGCTGAGCATCAAACAAGGTGCAGAACCATTGATTCATTGCTCTCTGCAAAGCTGCTTTCAGACTAATATTCCCTGCCCGCAAGTGGAGAAGAGTGAAGCACAGGCAGCAAGAACCTGCAGTGCAAGGCACACACTAGGAGAGTGCTGAGAACGTTGCCAGAGCATGCACAAGGTGCCTCTCCTTGGCACAGGACAGCATTTCCTGGGTGGGAGTAGCCATCCTTAATTTTTCCCACTCTGATCTCAGTCTGTCAGAGCAGTTTGATGTGACACTGTAGCCATCTGATGTGACTAAAAGAGAGAAGGAATTCTCCAAGGACTTTGCACATTACCCATATAAATAAATAACAACAACTGCAGAGCTAAGCAGAAGGAAATGAGCCATGAAAGGCCCAGGCTGGCAGAGTTGAAGGGCAGGGCAAGAGCACACAGGAGGGGAACGAATGGCACGTCCTCATACGTGCCACACTAAGGCACCAGCTTTATTTTTCTTCCTTCTTCCCACCAATTCCTGCAGCACAGTTAATTTGGGAACCTGATCCACAGCTCCTCTGTAACCCCACTTGTGCCAAGACAGGATGGCAAGGCAGCCTTTGCACTTCCTAAACTGGCCACTGTGAGATTCCCCCTTCCAAACGTGGACAGAAAACTTCCCAGCCCTTTCACACAAAAATAAACGAGCATGACAGGATCCTCAGGGCAGGAGCTGTCTGGCAGCATCCACACCCAGCACCCACCAGCCCTGCCTTGACTGGTCCTACACCTTTAGAAATAGTTAGAAAATTAAAAGCCCAAAACTCAGGTTGTTTGCAGCATCCAGGAGATTTTGCAGCTGTTGGTTTTGCCCATGAAAAAAAGACCATTGTAAGAAAGGGAAGGGTGGCTCTTGGATGCTGCCTGTTCAGAACTGCTCCATCAGATGCTGATGGATTCTATCAACACATCTGATCTGCAGCAGGAACCTGAGAGATGCATCAAGCTGAGCAAAAATCTGTGTGACAGAGGATGAGTGTCAAAGTCACAAGATTTGCCTGATTCTATAGTTTTCATGGAGCTGGATGAAACACAAATAGGAGTTTGTGTGTCCAGGAAATATTTTTATTCTTGATCAACCCCTTTGCTGTATGTTGAACTAAAGCAGAGGCTGTGCCTTTCCACCCACAAAAATATCTGCAGACATCGACCCACTGAGACTCACCAATAGGAGCCATGATGATGTGCCATGCAATCAAAGCCTCAACATGGCCAGGTAAGAGCAGCACAGAAAGCCCCCAAAGAGCAGGCAGAGAGCTCAGCATTAACAACATCATTCCCTCTGGTCACTCACAGTGAGAGTTTTCTTGATGTACGGGGCCCCAGGGGACAGGAGCTCTTCATTGCTGACCGGTCTCTTTAACACTAGAGCAGAAGGTGACAGATCCTATCAGAACCAAAGGTTTCCTACAGGGAAGTGCATAACTGGGCAGGCTGGGGATTACCATGGGCTGGAGAACAGATGTTAGAACCAGCCCCAGTTATTGCACACAGAAATCTTTGCATTCATCTCAGATTTTTTGTTTCAAACCACTTGCACAACTTTCCAACTCAAGCCCCAGAGGTGAGACCGACCCTGACCCTCTCCCCTTGCAAGTCACCAGGCTGACATTGGGTGGGTTTGGGCCTCAGGCTGGAGCTGGCCTCTTGCCCTGAGGGGACACATGCACCTTGAGCAACAACAGGGCAATGCAGAAGCCCAGACCTGATTTGGGGTTGCACTCGGCCACGGGAGGGAAGACCAGCGTGGGAGTGGTGCTGAAGTAGGGGTTGGAGTTCCCAGCAAGGGAAGTGATGCTGCTCCTTCGAACTGCAACTTTGATCTCCTTGTAGGTCTGGACTGAAAGAGGCAGAAATAGCAATTAATCAAGGAAGGAACAGTCTAGTTTAAAATAACAAGCTTCCCCCACCTGCCTGATCCACATCTGACAGGTAAGCATGCCCTGAAGATGTCTTAAATTCTCTTAAAGTTTGTTCTAATTATCCATCAGGCTTGTCATCTCTAAGGGAAAGAGCTTAGAAAGAATGAAACTAGCTTCAAAGAAAGATCAAGAGTTCAGCTGATGGTCAGCTGGGTTATTTTCCTGGGGTGGGGAGCTGTGATAGAGACTGCCACATCTACCCACAGCAGTGGGATGGGTGGTCACCTCACGGGATGCCTGGAGGAGCATCCTACAGTCTGCTGGGGCAACACCCTCAGCTCTGGGATACACTGGTAACGTCATCCCTGCTTTCACACCCCTCCAGTTACACATCCACAGTTACCAGAGAGAAAGCTGGTGTTGCCTGGGTCTGGGTTGAGCTTGCGAAGGCAGAAGGGGCTGTCTGGGCTCTCAGAGAGGGCACGGGAGGAGTTCTCATTGAGCAGCTCTGTGAGACGCCGCCGCCGGCGAAAGTTGATCCAGAACTGGTAGAGGATGTCACTGTCCAAGAAGTGATGCCTATTGGAGACTAGGAGAGAACAGGAAAGGAGGGAGAGGCTGAGGAGGCGTGAGAAATATATAACAAATACATTGGGGGACCCAAGTTGTTTTTACTGCCTCTATTGCAGCTTTTCTGACTGTTTCAGAACGTTACCTCCAGGGAAGGAGGAGCACCAGGGCCACCTCCCAGAGGTACAGCACTGAGCCACAGCCCTCTGTCACCTGTCCCGAGACACTCAGGGGCCTCCCTGCCTGCTGAAGCATGCCCTGAAGATGTCTTAAATTCTCTTAAAGTTTGTTCTAATTATCCATCAGGCTTGTCATCTCTAAGGGAAAGAGCTTAGAAAGAATGAAACTAGCTTCAAAGAAAGATCAAGAGTTCAGCTGATGGTCAGCTGGGTTATTTTCCTGGGGTGGGGAGCTGTGATAGAGACTGCCACATCTACCCACAGCAGTGGGATGGGTGGTCACCTCACGGGATGCCTGGAGGAGCATCCTACAGTCTGCTGGGGCAACACCCTCAGCTCTGGGATACACTGGTAACGTCATCCCTGCTTTCACACCCCTCCAGTTACACATCCACAGTTACCAGAGAGAAAGCTGGTGTTGCCTGGGTCTGGGTTGAGCTTGCGAAGGCAGAAGGGGCTGTCTGGGCTCTCAGAGAGGGCACGGGAGGAGTTCTCATTGAGCAGCTCTGTGAGACGCCGCCGCCGGCGAAAGTTGATCCAGAACTGGTAGAGGATGTCACTGTCCAAGAAGTGATGCCTATTGGAGACTAGGAGAGAACAGGAAAGGAGGGAGAGGCTGAGGAGGGGTGAGAAATATATAACAAATACATTGGGGGACCCAAGTTGTTTTTACTGCCTCTATTGCAGCTTTTCTGACTGTTTCAGAACGTTACCTCCAGGGAAGGAGGAGCACCAGGGCCACCTCCCAGAGGTACAGCACTGAGCCACAGCCCTCTGTCTC